CAGACGCTGTGATTTACTTTTGAGTTGCTTACAAATTTTTTTGGACTTCAGATGTTAAAGATATTAAACTCGTCATCAATTATGATTTTCCTACAAATGTTGAGGTGATAATACTTTAATCATAATGATTATAATAATTGTTATTTTATATATATTCAGATAGATATCTAGAATATATTATTTATATGTTAATTTATAATCATTATTTTTTTCATACTTGTTTTAATAGGATTATGTTCACCGAATTGGTAGAACAGGACGTGGTGGTGCAAAAGGTTTAGCTATTACATTTTTCACAATGGATAATGCCAGACAGGCCAAAGATTTGGTAAATATACTAAGAGAAGCCAATCAAGAAGTAAATACCAAGTTATTAGATTTAATTAAAATTGTACCAGCAACTAATAACAGTAAGTCAATTAACATATTAATTCATAGATGTTTATTTATTTAATTATTGTTAATAAATTTAATAATTATATTAATAGAGCATTCAAGATATGGTAATATTGTTGGGCGTGCATATGGGGCAAATAATCCTAATATTAATCATACGCGTTGGTAAAATTCTTTAATATAAAAAAAACAGTATTAAAAACTTTTTATAGAATAATATTATTGTAAAGATGGAAATCTTTTTTGATTACATATTTGTAGAGCCTTTATTTTAAAAAATTTTATACATACACCTATTAGAGTATCCAAATTATATTAATGCACAATCAAAATTCGAATAAACCATTATTTATTATTACTGTTGTCGGCTTTATTGAGATAACAACATTTGTACCAGCATATGATTTACCAGTTGTAAAGAGATATATTCTTCAATAAGGGTAAAATTCTTTTACCTTCCAAACTTAAAATGATATAGAACTATCCCTATATAAAAGAGTTAATATGAAACTCATTTACATCAGATCTACTATGGAACCCAAGAATTATAGTACTATCAGAAGTATTTTGAAGAAAGAGCAAGGTGAAAAAATTGCACCTTATATTTTCAAAATAAATGATACTCAAACACTGGAAGCTTATCTAAGAAAAGAAAGGATTACTTATGAAATTTACCAAGAGGAAAGAAAAATAATAAATGTTGGAAAAAGAAAACATCATGAAGGTGTATTATTACCCACTAAAAGACAAAAATCCTTAGAAGAAAAATAATCTTATTATTACAGTATTGATCTATTTTTTTATTTTAATTCTTTTAAATCAGCAATTATAAAACTTAAAAAAGTTATACCTGCTATTCATCATCAAATAGATTTATCATCATAATTTTCTTTATTCTTTGAAATATTTTTTTTATTCATCAGCAGCTTTGGCAAAATCTTCATCTTTTAAGTCAGAAACAGTAGTTTTAACAGTAATATTGTAACTGTTTTATTATCTTTGGATTATCATCAAGAGGAAAATTTCCTCAATCCTCTTTAAATTATTTTCTTATTTTCAATCAAGGTCATTTTTTAACTTCAATTTGAGCAACTAATTGACCGTTTTGCTGTTGTAATTGGGTTAATTGAAATTTTAAATCATTGATTTCCTTTTCTTTAGCACTTAATTTATCAACTAGTTCTTTAGGGGTTAATTTTTTTAATCTTTCTAGTTCAGTCTCCAATT